TTTGGATTAATTATTTAATTTAAAAGAGGGAGAGATTTGTCAGCATAAAATTTTTAAAATGAGAGACAGAGATTATAAGATTGATGGAGTTGACTTAGAAAAAGTTTCTTATGCTCAAAACTTTAAAGGAGATTATTCTAGAATTACTTCATAAAAAATAGAAAAAAGTTTAGAACAAGAATTTTAAGAATGCAGTCTAAACTAAATCTAGATTGTACCCAGTTTTTTAAAAGATTCAACTTAAATAAGTTATAAAAATCAAAATATTAACGTTTTAAAAAGAATAATGGAGGAAATTTAAGTAGGATAAAATTCAGAAATATAAGCTAAACAATAAAATGATAATTCAAAAGTATATAGCAAAGAATAAATTGACCTTGAATAATAATTAATTAAGTAAAGATAATCTTCTGACAGATTTTGCTAGGTTCCTGATGATGCAGCTATTAAAGCTAAATAACCACAACTAGATAGATGTGAATCTGAGGCCAAATTAAATGAAGTTCAAAACTCTAAACCAGATTCATAACTTTAAGAAAATAATTAATATATTAAAGAACAGAATGATAAGTGCATAACATTTCCTTTAGCTAATGATTATTATTAAGAATAGTTTGTCAAAATTTTCACTAATTAATGAACTAATGGGAAATTTAAAGATATTGTTTGAAAAGTAATTAAACTTAACAAAGAAAAATTCTAACAGAATAGATTAGAAGCATTATCTCATACTAGGTAATTGAAAGCAAAAGGAATATTAGGAGAGTTTGCAAGCAAGTAAATCGAATTATGTGAGATATGCAATCTTATAACACTTGGGAGTCAAATGTTTTAACTCCCATGTGGACACTCTTTTTGCACTGATTGTATAGTATAGATGATAGAGTAATGGATTAATTCTTGACGAAAGGTATAAAAAATCAAATGTCTTGATAGTAAATGCGATTATAAATTTACATAGGAGCATGTTTAAAAATTAGCATCACCAAATCTCTATGAAAAATATAACAAATTGAAGTTAGATTAGGGGGTATTGTTTGACAAAAGAAAATAATATTGTCCCACACTTCATTGTGATAATATAATTGTAAAAAGGACTAGGAATGACAAAATTGAGTGTGAAAAATGCAAGAAATTCATCTGTTTTGATTGTTAGTCAAAATGGCATGAAAATTAATCTTGTGAGTAGTTTAAGTAGAGTAACTAATTAGAATGGGCATTCAAAGAAGGAATTTAAAAATGTCCCAAATGTTAGACAATGATTGAATAATTTGGAGGTAGCTATCATATAATTTGCTATCTTTGCTAGTATCATTTCTGCTGGTGTTGTGGATTATCTGTTGATAACTTCATACATTCAGAGCTCATGGTTTTTAATAGGTGTTATTCACAATAAAGCAATAAAAAAACCGATCTTTAATAGAAGCAGATTAAATTCTATTTGATTTTGATATTTATGCCATTCATATTGTTTTTTTCTCCAATCATATGCTTTACTCTGGGAGGATTCATGGTGCCTGTAATATGTTTCAAACAATGCGTAGAATGCTCTAAAAATGGGCCCTCATTTTTAATTGTATTCTTATTGTTATCTTGGCTACCATTCTTTATTGTTAGTTTGACTGTTGGACTGGTTATTGGATTGATTTTAGCCCCTATAATATTGGGTATAGGTTTAATTCCTGCTGAAATTTTCCATATTTTTGTATATTAAAAGACTACACACTGGTTGAAATAAGGGAGTTATACAAATAAAGATTGATGAGAGGGACTTGTAACTAATAATGGCAATATTTATGATTTTGATAATTTGGATCATTCTTAATTCTTAAGTTTTAGTTTTATGGGGTTTTGGGGTTTTGGGG